GCTCAGCTCCAGTCCCTTCTGGCCGCAGGCCGTCTCCCTGTGCTCAGTTACCGGTGCTGTGGGGGCAGGGCAGGTCCCGCTCAGTTGAAGAGGGCTGGGTGATGGCGGCGGCCCAGGGGTGAGAGGGGATGGGAAAGTGACTCCCCCTCACGGTGTTGGTCGTGGTGCTCAGCAGAGTGTCCAGAGATAGTAGGGTGAGATGGGAGAGCAGCAGAGCGATGTCCAACGGCAGGGAGCATGGATCTCAGTGCTGGGATGGCAGGGGGAGATGCCAGAGCGGAGCCCAGGTTGTTTTCCCACTCCACGAGCCAAGCGAGAGAGAGTCCCCCGCTCCAGACCCCCTATCCCACCTTTCCTTTTCCGGTTCCCCCCCCTCCCCCTCCAGCCACCCCCCTACAAGAGAACATTATCTGTCGTTTTAAGGTGTAGCCACAAGTACTTAGCATAACAATGGGAGAAAATTCCACTGAAAGAAAAGGGAATAATTCAACCTCCAACATCATCATTGTTTTATGCAATTGTTTAGTAATTACTGTGGCATATGGGTGAGTCTGTGAAACCACTGAATTCTTTAGAATATCAACCAAATAGTGCTTATCACTATAAGAAACCCTTTGCTGATCAAGACAGACAAAATTATAGACATTATGAAACTTACTGGTGTATTGTGCTTACAGATGCACAATATTGATACACCGCTATTCTTATAAAAAATGTATGTAAGCTTAAATTCTGCTTTTAGTCCTTGCCTTGTCATGGAAAGATACATTGTCATTTGGAATTGGAAGTGAGTGATCTATTTTCTTTGAAGGGAGGTCTGAAAGAGGAATATATATGCCTGGAAATAGATGTCAAGAAAATTGGTCTATGATTCCTTAGTACTGTGGTTCCTTTGAGATCCTGGGTCAAGAGTCTAGCACTGAGTGGCATTGGGAGTAGTCTCAAAACGTGAAGAGGACTGCCTGCTTCTCATCACCTTAAAATGTTTCTGTATGCCCATGTCTTAGCCCCATTCTCATTCCCTTGTCATCTCTCCTCCTTTCTCAGTAGGAGCACATTCACATCCCTGTTTTTTTTTTTTTTCCTCTTTTCTTTCCTTTTTGGAGAAACAATCATTAAACTCTCAACTACTTAATTCCTTTTCTTCTTCATGGTTTTTCATGGTTCAGAGATTGGTGTTTTGCAGTTAATCAGAGCCCTGTTCAGGAACCAAGTTCTTTAGCATATCATAAATACAGGCTGAAAAACGAGGAAAAAAAAAGTGACTGGCCTAGTTTTGGTTACCATGGCAACAATGATTAAGTATACTCTTATTTTCAATTTTAGAGTACTGTTCCTGTAGTACTTTTTGGAATTTATTTGATAGAGGAAAGAAATTTTCCCCTCTATTTACTTTTATAAAACTTTCTAATACTAATTCTGGGTTGAGGGAAAAGTAGAAGAAGGGTGGAACTAGCAGGAAGGGAGGTATAAAAGGAGGCAGAGATGACAGCAAGGAGAAGGTTACAAACAGTTCCTTTGTGGAAAGATTTGACATAAGAAGTTCCTCTGAGATGAATAATGAAGATCTGTGCAGAAGCCCTCAAACACTTTCAGTGTGGCTGGATAATTAGAATAATACGACTACATTGTGAGGTCCCAAGGCAGGTAGAGCAGATTTTTAAGAGAAGTACCCTATCTCCATGGGCAGGACAAGTGCCAGTTTTCATTATAGTATTTGTATTTAACTCATGATGAGAACTGCAGCAAAATGTTTCAGATCAGAAATAACAACAGCATGATTCCAGGATGCTGTTATGTTTCTGGGAATTGCTTATTACTGGAGCTACTTGTTTCTATGACTGCAAACTACTTGAACCTATTGTTTCCAGTTCAGTGTCTGCTTCCAGTGATGGTACAGGGTCAGGCAGATTCCTCCTGCGTGGTGTAGATGAGCACACAATTGCACTTCCTAGAACAACCGATTTAGGCAAATTCCCTGGAAAGAGTTTTTCTTAACAGAAACAAATGTGACTTTTAAGTGAGTTTGATGCATTGATAGGATGAAGCCTTTTGTTCTTTCTAAGAAGGAGAGCTAGATATCTCATATACTGTTTTCTTGTAATTGCTCTTACAATCATTATTTGTCCTCCTTCCAGTTCCCTTACAAGCTTTTCAGCAGAACAAAACTAGACAGGGTTGAGGAAATGCTCAATAGTTGTACATGTATTGCACTAAGGAGACAGAAAGTTCTCTTATTTAACAAACAGTAATGAGTATACTGAGGTCTCTGAGAAGCCTGGAAAGTAGATGGACTTGCAAAACACAAATGCTTCTAAATGACCCTTAATGGAAAATGAACAGAAATATAGGGCCGAAAAGTGGATTGGCTGGTCAGGAAATAAAAGCTGTTCTCTAGTTCTGTGTTATCAACACAAAATTCCTTTATTACCAACTGAAACAGTGTCACAGACCTGTCCTAGCACAAAGGCCTTGGCAGCTCTTCTCTAGGGGAAATGACTAGGGAAAGTCATTACTGTCAGAGAGCTGCTATGCAAAACAGGGAAAGAACTGAGAGAGCCTTGGGGTAAGATCTGAAGTTGTCTGTCCAGGACTGTATTGGCTGGGGTTTCTGCTGTGCACTGGCTGCTGACACATGAGGTGGATTGATTTCACTGGATAAAGTGTTTCTGCTTTCATCAGTATATTGCATGTCACTTGCACCTGATATATATTTACCAAGACATACTCATTAATCATGCACAGAATAGAATAAAATATTTTAAAAAAGCATTCAACTACACTTGTTGCACAGATGACTGGCAAAAGAACAGTTTCCAAACTTCAACTTTGTTGCCCCCACCACAAATAATTTTTTCCTCATTTACATCATACAGATGTCTCCACATTATATCTATTCTTCAGCCTAATTCTCAGCTGGTATGGTGGACAAGGTACATCAAGCAATGTGTATGTTGGATTAAAGCAGCGTGAAAAGAAATGTATATGAATTCTATGCTTGGGTGTTTGACATCAGTGCAGCAAGCTCTTGCAGGATGAATTGTCTTGCTTGTTTGGCTTATTCACTGTCCAAAACTCTGAGTTTGTACCACTCAGTGGCTGTCACCTTTTCCATTTCCCTTCTCTGTTGAATTACATGTAAATCACTCACCATCACTCATGTAGCTCGTCTAATAAACAGAGAAAAGAAAAATAGTCTGTCCTGCAACACTGTGAAGAGATTTTTGTTTCCCTAATACTTCCACTTATTTGAGGCCAGGTCACTTTCCTTTTAAGTCAATGACAAAAATTCCATTCCCTTAGTTAATATCAAAAGGACCTCCCCAGAAGACAAATGGGTAGATTACATTTCCACAAACAGAAAGATCCTTGCTCAATAATACCTTACAGCTCATATAATCATTACTTTTATTTTTGCCTTCACGTGATTTTTAAACAGAAAAGCCCGATGCCCAAGTGCCACCTCGTGGACAAAATTACTTTTTCCCTGTCCTCTCTCACCTTGTGTGCTAAAATCCCTCGTCCAGCAAGACCCGAGTTACAGAAGTCTCTATGGAAGAGACCTAAATCAAGCAATTAATTTTAGATTTATCTCTATATATCTAGCTCTACATATAGATACGTTGGCTTAAAAAAACCCCTACAACCAGACATAATCAATGTGCACATCCATTGCTTCTTGCCCCTAATAACTCCTGCCCTCACAGAAAGCTGACTGTTGTAGCAGGAGCAGCTTCTATGGCAGGCACACAGAACTCCAAGAATTAAAAGCCATGTAGTGCAAGCAGCTGGAAACTCATTTTCCTGGAATCCTTTCCTCCAACTAGCTATTGTCACTGTCAGCTGCAGAAGTAGTTTTTACTACTATTGTATCTCGAATATCATGGCTGAAGTCCTTCACTACAATCTATTTTAAAAAATCATTCTATCTCAAATTATAATTATGTTAAAATGGGGATACTTTTCACAGTAAGACTGCTCAATCCCTGGTTGTGCTCGACCTGAATATTAGTGTCCTTGAACATGGAAATTTCCCTGCTCTTTACTATATTTGGCAACATTTACTGTGTAGAAATATAACATAATGTAATGTAATATAACAATATATTTTTTTTAATGGATGAAAATAATATTACTATATGCAACTGTTATGTACCTATCCAAATATAAAATGTACTGGAGTTTCACTACGACTCATTTAGACTTTAACCACTAGGCGGTAGTATAAGATTAAGTCATGCAACAGTATCTGGTAGTTTTGTTTTCATTTTGCAGCAAACTTCAAAACATATGCCAGCACCATAGGAAATACTGTGAAACACTCCTCTGCTTCTTCATCAAATCAGCAAGACACTGAACACAAATATGGGTCACAAGATTCACTTAACTATGGATTAAATGCATTATTTGAAGCTGATGAACCCCAAGGACAATGGGTACACACCACACCTCCCCCCATCTCTTCCCCTCCCCTTATCAGTTTGTGATTTGTAAGGTTCATCAAATACAGTTTAGTCATTGAGGAATCTTATTTAGAATAAAAAAAATACAATCAAATATAATCAAATTCTTTACACTGTGCTTTGAATCTCACACTGGAGCTGAATTAGATGAACTAATTATAGGAGATGTTCCTTTTCAGAGAATCACAGAATGGCTGAGGTCGAAAGACACCTCTAGAGGTCATCTAGTGTAGCTGTGGAAAGGGGTTTTAAACCTTTAAGTGCGGCGGAAATAAGATTCGCAGCTACATGGTCGTCTTTCATGATGGGAAGAAAGAGAAGTTTATTCAGAAACACACTTGGTTTTATAGCATGACTCGCAATTCCAAGAGTAGAGAAAAGGTGATTGGTTCAGAGAGAAGGCACTCCATTCCCAGGGCCTGGTCACGCACCACAACAGGTGTTCTATCTTTGTTATTAATTCCTTTTTATTTTGACCAAATTATCACCCTGGGAGAAATTCTCCCTAGCCTTGAGCTGGACCAGCTTATTGGCTGGGAACAGAGCTGAGAAGCTCCAGCCTGGAATATTTTTCAGGCTGTAATTTTCTCGCTTTCTCAATGTGTCCCACAATCTAGTCTATGCCTGGTCAAGCAGGACCATGTCCAACTTGGTTCTGAGAATCTCCAAGCATGGAGACTCCTCAACACCTCTAGGCAACTTGTGCCATTTTGTGGGTCCATTTTTTGACAACCGTGGAGTAAAAAGAAACTTCCTTGTGCTTAGGTTTTGTGGTTTTTAAATCTCTGCCTATCGCCTCTTGTTCTGTTAGTAAGCATGTCTGAAGAGAGCCTGGCTCCCTCTTTACTCGCTCTCATTAGGTGTTAATATACATTGAAACAATTTAATTTCATTTTTGGGACTGTTTCAGAAGAATTTCAATCTGGGTCTAACATGACAAAGTAATTTTACAGGTTTAGAATGATAAAAAGGAAGACTCCATGACCACAGGGTACAATACTTGAGTGCATTTTGGGAATCTACCAGCTGTAATAAAGTAAGTCATTCTGGTTTGCTGCATCTGCTGTGTTTGACTTCAGCAGCTCACGTGATAATGTGGTTGGTTGAATGCCTTCACTGACTGCTAAAAAGGATATGGCAAAGTGAATTTGGGTAAGTAACAAAAATAAGAGGTATGCAGCATTTTGGCTGCTTCTCACACAAATGAAACAATCCAATCTTCCTGCAATACAGCTGGAAGCCATGAATTCATGTTTTATTGAGATCCTCATCTAATGTTTTCTTCTACCAGGTAAATATAGGTCCTGCTAAAACACCCTATTGTTTATTGTAGGGTTGTACTGCAATCTCTCCCTTGATTTTGTTTTTTAATAATGGGAGAATGCATGGAGATAATCAGGAAAAAAGCCTTTTTGTAGATTTTAAGAATTTAAAACTATTTTCTCTGGTGAGAAGAGGAATGAAGTACATTATTAGGAGGACTAAAAAGCTTTCCTTAATTTATCCTTATTTTGCTAAGAAAAGACTAACTTTCCCTTGCAGTATATTTTAATTTTTTAAGAGTTGCCAATATCCTTATTAATGTACATTTTGTATAGGGCTGTTTGGATCCACAGTACTGTAAAATGAATTTTAGACGAAGACTAGAAATAGGCCATGAAGTTCAAAGTAAAACAGTAAGGTGTTTTAATCTCAGGGTTTGTTTTTAGTCTGTTACACAGAGAGGAGCCAAAAGCTACATGAGATTGTGGGCTCACCGTTTTTGAAGAACAAATTCTATAAATGTTCTAATTTAGCTGGAGTTCTGCCCTTTAATACAGATTCATGAAAACTGATGCTCTTTAATTCGGAAGTCAACAGATTGGTATGCATAACCTAGTGAGCATACAAACTGTAATTATATTCCAACTAAACCTATCTCAATCTTACACAACCTTTCCCAGAGATACTGATTTCTACTAGCATATTTTCAACCTAAATTTGAACAATCCTCTATCCCAGTTTGTCAAACCAACCAAGACTGTATATTTCTGTTTGGGGTTGTTTTTCTTTTTCTTTTCCTCTTTGCCTGTGGAATTTTTTCCCATTGACATGCTAATGTTATAAATGAGAGACAAAAGTCTCGATATTCAGCATTGCTTTATTTGATATCAATTATCACACTAAGAAGCACTGATGGCTAGGTTATTGAGATAGGGGAAGAGGAAGCTCTCTGCTTTTTTGGGAGTTTCTCTCGGAGGCAGAGTGGGGGGCAGTTGCGCTCTCCCTCACTCTTGGCTTTGGAGGAGGAAGGTCACTGTTACCACCACCATGCCAATGCTGGGAGCTGCGTCTTCCTCTGCTGCTGGACCCCGTACCCCTGCCCTGCCAGGACGCCCTGCCATTTCAGCTTGCTCTTTCTGAGTGTCCTGCTGGAGCACCGGCACTGACACTGCCCCAGGGTGGGTGAAGCAAAGTCTCTCTTTTCCATCCCTTCCTGTCTCGGACACAGCCGCCATTACCGCGTGCTCCCCAAGCCCGCACCACAGCGCCCCCTGCAGCCACGGGGGGATCATCTCACCTGCCCTGCCCACTGGGAGCCACCAGCGCTCCCTGCCGGCGGTGACGGGAACTGCACCAGAGGGGAAAGTGCCCGCGGCCCAGAGGACTGGAACTGGGTCCCTGGTTCTGTTTGTTATTAATTCCATAGCTGTTGTTGTTTTGTTTGCCTTGTGTCTTGGTTTGAAAGACAGGTATGGTCTAAGGAAAGGCAAGAGCCCCCTTCCCGAGATGCCGAATGCAACCCCCTCCCTTTTAATTATTTTAGGTCCAAATCAAAAGCCTTCAGGAAGGAGATGTGGGGATAAGGGTAACAGTTCTTTACTGATATCTAACAAGGCAGAAAAAACAACAATAGCTATAAAAATTGACAACAGAACAGAACAGTCTAGCTCTGCTCCAGTCCCTTTTGGCTGCAGGCCCTCTCTCCCTGCGCTCAGTTACCGGTGCTGTGGGGGCAGGGCAGGTCCCGCGCAGTTGAAGAGGGCTGGGTGATGGCGGCGGCCCAGGGGTGAGAGGGGATGGGAAAGTGACTCCCCCTCACGGTGTCGGTCGTGGTGCTCAGCAGAGTGTCCGGAGATAGTAGGGTGAGATGGGAGAGCAGCAGAGTGATGTCCAACGGCAGGGAGCGTGGATCTCAGTGCTGGGATGGCAGGGGAGATGCCAGACCGGAGCCCCGGGCTGTCCTCCCACTCCACAAGCCAAGCGAGAGAGAGTCCCCCCGCTCCAGACCCCCTATCCCACCTTTCCTTTTCCAGTTCCCCCCACTCCCCTCCACCCACCCCCCTACGAGAGAACATTATCTGTCGTTTTAAGGTGTAGCCACAATTACTTAGCATAACAATGGGAGAAATTCCACAGAAAGAAAAGGGAAGCAGTCAACCCCCAACATTATCCACCCCTGAATTTCTCCCATACTAATATGCTATATCAAATTAAACCGTTACATTATATATACATACATGCAGTTAGAGACATAGGCACAGTACTATAGGTATTTCACCCTAAAACAAGGTCTCCTTGGGGTATGCATCGGGTCTCTCCATTCTTTTGCATCACCCACCAGGTGCAGCCCGGTCCTTGAGCGAATACAACTCCACAGATGGGATTGTCTTTGCTGGAGGCAGGATTCACCCAAACAGTTTTTCCTAGCATACCTCTCATGTGTACCACTGGAACCTTATCTCCATCTGATATTCCCAAGGGCTCAGATTGGGCAGAGCCTGCTCAGTTAGTGGAACCTTGGGTGTTCACTAACCATGTGGCCTTTGGTAGATTAATCTCCCAGTTCTTGGGAGATTCCAGTCAATTCCTGAGATCCCCCCATAACCCTAGCAATTGAAACAGGTTCCTTCCCGACATGTCCTGAGGGTATTAATGTACACTGTGAAACAGTGTCAACCAATGCACTGTGTTCCTGTGGCTCTGATGTGCCAGACCATCGGATCCACACCGTCCAAAAGATCCTGTTTTCCCATGCCTCTCCCTGGCTAGAGGCAGGGCCCTTCTACCCCTGGTTATTATTTCTTTTCTGAGCATACATACTGGAGGTTCCTTCAAGGGGATCTGACAGATCATCCTCCCTTCTGTAATACCCTGCACCTTGGTCATGGGAGGCTGAGGATACCCTCACTTTAGTGGAGTTCCCTCTGTTGGTGTTCCCCTCCCTGAGTTGGCGCACCTGTGCTGCCAGGACAGAAGTGGGTTTCCCATCCCACCTTCTCATGTCTTCCCCGTGGTCACGTAGAAAAACCACAGGTCAGCACGTGGGGTGTACCCTCTCTCCCTAGCTGGGGGGGCGTTGGGCTCTACTTTTGGAGTCCATGACTCGCACTGGTGCTGCACTGATCTTCCTCACCTCTTCCCTTATCTCCTTCATCTCCTCCTTAAACTCCTCTCTGAGGTCCTTAGCCACAGCAGATACATGAGCCTGCATTGGGCCAGCCATCATACTCTGAAAATTCCTGAGCCTGTTGGCAACAGAACCCACTGTCACTTGGTTGGTATCAGCATCAATCATTGCAATAGAGGAGGTATATTGAGATGGGCCCAGGTTTGCCAGATTCCACAACATCTGTCCTGTGCACCTGACCTTGTCAGGGTCATTGTCATGCTGTCCATCCCTCCCAAAGAGCACCTCCAGTACTGCCACTTCTCTCAGCTTTTGAATCCCTTCCTCAAGGGTATTACAATGTGTTCTCTGGTGGTGCTCCTGCATTCTTTCCCTGTGGACAAATTTCTCTCTCACACTCATTAAAAGTCGCTCACAGAGGGAAAGGAGACCTGTCTCCCTTACAAATACCTGGTCCACACCTGAGTCCTGGGTCAAGGCTCCCAAATTCCTTGCCTCAGTACCATCCAGTTGCACACCTGTGCCCATAAGGTCCCAGACCCGCAGTAACCAGGTTGTAAAAGGCTCACGGCCCCGTCGTACAATGTCTTTTCGCAGGTTATGGAGATTCTTGTATGACAGGGACTCGGTGATGATCTCAACTTCTGGCTCCCCTGCTGGTTGTGAGGGGCCCCCTTCCTGACCCTTATTATCTAGGTGCCTTGTTTTCATCTTAGACTTCCTAGTTTCCACAGGGGCAACTGCTGCTACTGAGTGCCCCTGCAGTTCAGCTGGAACCTGGACAGAT